CCGCAGTGCTATTCTGTCAGCGCTACATAAATTCATTCAGGCAACCGGAAGGATACGCTGCTAGTGGTACTGCCAGACATATCCAATTCTTTCTTCCCCTTCCTCATTCTTGTTAATTTGTTTCATATGTTCTGGTTTATCGCATTCTTCTGCAATTTTTCACGTTTTTTCAAAGGAACATTATTATTGTTCCTATCTAATTTCTCTTTATTTTTTAGCAAGCGTTGTAAAAAATGATCTATCATGAGGTGCAGTGTGGCCAATCCCCCATGTGGGTATGAGCCAAGATCTCCTAGGAGACAAGAAGGGACAAGAAGAAGGAATTTTCACGAAGCAGCCCCGGTTGCCAGTTTCAAGTAGGTACGTAACTTGAAGAAACGTAATACTGCTTTGACGCTACGATAAATATGGCAATTGAGACCACAGCAGTGAAGCGACATCTTCAACCACTAGTGTTTCCGCAAAAAAAAAGATGATTCTCGGAAAAATAAATAAATCACTAAAATAAGACATTTTGATTCCTACTTGTTGACTGTGTTGTCTTAGCGCACTTGAATTCTGCTCCGCAGGTCCCGACGTCCGTAGTCATGCCCAAGTCTCTAAGTCGCATGATTGTGCGCTTTTCCGTGGACCTGCACAGGGAATTGGTGCGCTCCAGAAGAGACAAGAGAGAGAACGTCACCTCTTCGCCATTCAGTATCGCGGCCGCCCTGTCCATGACGCTCGCCAGGTCCCGTGGAAACACGGGGGACGAGCTGCTGGCAGCGCTGCGTGGCAAGGACGGCAAGCTGCACGAGCACTTCGGGTCGTTCCTGCCGAAGCTGTCCAGCCACTCGCACAAGCTGCAGTACTACTTCGCCAATCGCATCTACTGCGACCTGACGTTTCCGGTCGCGGAGGACCTTCCTCAAATCGACCTACGTGTCGACCATCGTGTCGGTAGACTTCGAGAAGCACAGCGAGACCGTTCGCGGCGAGATCAACGACTGGGTGAAGACCGTGACCGAGTCAAAGATAGCGGACCTCTTGGCTCCCGGTAGCGTCGGCCCTTCCACGGGAGTGCTCCTGGTCAACGCCGTCTACTTCAGGGGACTCTGGGAGTCGCCGTTTCCGGCCTGCTCGACGTCGCGTCGCGACTTCAACGTCAACTCCAGGACCAAGGTCCGGGTACGAAATTGGCGGGATAAATTTCTGGCAGTGGTGGCCGCATTTTGGTGTATGCGAAATTGTAGAAGCCCGTGTGCTTGTATCTAGGTACACGCTGAAGGGCCCGTGTTTCAATGATAAAACTGTGCGAAAAAACAAGGACAAAAAGTAAGAATCATATAGAACGCCACGAGCGATTGTACGCCTCTTTTATCTTGGTATTTTCGCACGGTTTAATAACGGTTAAAAGCTATAGATGACCATACTAGCCCGCCAGAGCGTGTTATTCAAAGGTGAGTCAACAACCCCGCGGTCCAATGTGTGCTAGCTACGTAGCGAAAACTGGGCACTTTTTACGATGTGAACATGCTGCCGCAAGGTTTTCGCGAATAAGTCCTGTAATAGTTCTCGCTCGGCCTTCTCACTCTTCTCAGCAGCGTGAAGAGAAGTAGGCGTCATCCGGGGTAGTGACGCCCACTTCAGCATATTTCGGAGCCCTACCTTAGGGCGTTTCTGACATTGTGGTTTTGGGAAATGAACATTCAATAATGATTATTATTGTTGTTATTCATATGTCTAGCTATTTGTTTCGAAAGGGTTATGAAATCAAACCCCTAAATAACGAACCTGCCGGGGAAGCGATGTTTGTTCGTTCTCGTGAGAATTTTCTAGTCGCAAAAATAGAAAAAACATCTAAATTCGCATTTTTCTTATCGTCGTGGACGGCGTGAAAAATGCCAATGATGTTAAAAGCAAGAACTTCTCGCTGGATTACTTGCTGCCTTTTTTGCGTTTTGTTCCTTTCTTCACTCTCGTCGTTACTCTCATACTTTATGCGCACACTTTGGAGGGTATTTTCGTCGCTAAACTCTGCATGCATGACGAGGTCTTGTTCACTGTAGGGAGCCTACATGATCCTAGGTGCCACCACGTGAAAATTAGTGCAGTTCAACAGTGTCTGCGCTCCAACGATGCTCACGCCGAAATCCGTCACACGATTCAGCTGCATATGGCAAGCGAATGAGAACAGTCATCAGTCACCAGGGGGTGAATTCCTTTGTTGATATCGCTGTTGGGGGAGGGCGGTCAGAATGCATTGATATAGCTTGGTTTGAGGATAAGTGCTGATCTGACGTGAGGGTACAAGCATCTCTTTCGCACCCCTCCAACCGACGCCCATGACAAGAATGGTCGCACAGATGCGTGTTGGCGGAAAGTTATGTGCGCGACTTGTCGAATGAGCGGTACTGCAATTTTCGAACTTCTTTATTGCCAGCTAGCCCATGCGCTAAAAAAATTCACATCGCTACCTAAAACGTTCATTCTTGTGGGAGTGATTTTTAAAATTTCTTCGCAATACAGTTGGGGAAAATGCATAATACACTATGGACTTCGTCGTGGACGCAAGAGTTCATCCCTCACGCGACAATTTCATTCTTGAGGCCTTTCGCTATTGAGGGGTTCAAGTGTACTTCTTCACACGTACACATACGACAGATATATGAAAACAATAACAAACTCACCAAGTATACATACGCTTTTTTTTATACGAATGCTTACTATGTACCACATCGGTGACATAACACACGTCCAGACCATTATTGAGCTCACTTTTTGTAGCAATGTTTTGTCCATTGTTTGCACTGTGGTACCGCCTTGTCTTCCGAGCTCGAATAAGTATATCAGCAGCGTTCTTACCACCTCGCCGGAATACAAAATACACATATTGGTGCGTTTGTGGGCCTTTTGATATGTCGTTCATGTGTGTACGTGTAACGGATATGTGACTATGGCCTCACCAAACAAATGAATCATTTACGCTAGCCCCGTATCATTATCCAGGTGGACATGATGAGTCAGAAGCAGGCGTTCGCCATCTCTCGGAACGACGATCTCGGTGTCAGGGCCATCGAGATGCCCTACAGGGGTGGTCGGAGCTCCACGGTCGTACTGCTGCCCTACGAGATCGACGGTCTGTCTCACTTGGAGCATCACTTGTCCCACGGCAAGCTGTCCAATATCCTGGCAGACCTAAAGGAAACGCCCGACGTCGAAGTGACCATGCCGAAACTCTTGCTCCAACAGTGTCTGTATCTCAAGGACACCCTGAAGGCCATGGGCGTGAGCGATCTGTTCTCAGCCAAGTGCAACCTCTCGGGCATGTTTCAATCGGGCAGTCCCGTTGTCTCGAATATGGTCCACAAGGTGCACCTGCGGGTCGATGAAGACGGCACGGACCCTGCGGTATCCACGCCCGCGATGGCGATGACATCTTCTCCTCCGACAACGACAACGACTCAGAAGACGGACTTCGTCGTCGACCATCCGTTCATGCTGCTCGTGTTGAAGAGCAAGTCGGATGTGGTCATTTTCGTGAGTTCTGTGTGTCATCCGTGACTAGCGGTTTGTGTGCGCACCTAAGCGCATGCACCTTTTAGATATTGAATATAAGTATAACCCAAAATAGCATATCTCCAGCCTGTATTCGAGTACTCTCGTGCTTACGAGGATGAATTTGCTTTCGCAACATTACGAAATTGTTTTGGACTACTGACAAGCAATGTCTTCATATATCTTGCGGAATCCGCTTGTTCGCTTTTTCTCCACTGCCCTCTCACAATTTGGTAGAGTTCCGGTAAGGGCCGGAACGACCGGTATCGCCCGAACTAAATCCTCCATGATCAAGAGGCCTTTCTGTGGTATGTAACGCTGCGCATACAATCGGACGAACACAGGATGTAAAGAAGCGTAAACGGAAAGAGCGAAAACTCTCAAGTTGATAGTTGGTGCTCTTTCCGTTAACGCTTCTTTACTTCCCATGTTCGTTTGATTGTATGCTCAACGTTACCACAGACATGTATGAACTCGCCCAGCAAGAAGCTGTTCTTAAATACAAGATGCCTTTCGCGACCTTATCCCTTGGTGAAAGACGAGACATCGGGCAAGGAGGGAGATTCAGCCGGTCACGTCACAAGGTTTCCAGTTTCGAATGGAGATTGGCGAGAGTGCGAATGGTTTGCCACCAACAGATTATTAGTACAGTGCCAGGTGTGTAATAACGCACAACTGAGAATTCCTTTCAAACCTCCGTCTTAGCTTTTACGGGTGCCGTTCAAGATGGTCGTGTGCACTGTCACACCACGTTTCATTTTCACAATCTTCGTTTGTCAACCACTGCTGCGTTGAAGGTAGAAATCCGTTACTGTACGGAAAATGCAGAGCCGTGACAACTTAAGCTGGAGGCTTAGCAACCTATCTCTGAGGGTAACTACTGCAAGTATACAGTGCATCAAATAGAGGTAACGGGCACGCATTTGTCGAAATGCTTGTGCGCTTTTTGATAGGTACATTGCGAGAGGAACTCATTTTGACAACTCTGTTTGTTGCTTCTGAGCGCCGGCCTGCCGCAATAAGCTCGGATCCCCCCTCATTACTCAAGCTATTTGGCACGTTCTTTTCACAGTTCAAGCGCACAAATAAACAGAAAGAAACGAAGAAAAATTCGTGCGCTTGAACTGACAGTTATACCATGCATATCCAACCAGCCCAACTTTCGATTTTGTTGAAAAAGAAGGGCACCACAGCCCAAGTCGCGATACCTCATTTGTGCCTCGTTCGGTAACGTTGAGCTTGATCTACTTGAACTAAAGCTCTCCGATTAAAGCCCTCATGTCGCAATAAAGTGTCGTTTTATTTACAGGCATATGTTCAATTGATTACGCAACGTAAGAAAATCACCGTCGGCAGAAATACCGACTCATGGGGAAGGACCACCGCCGACGGCTTGCGTTCTCCCTCGACGGCCTCCCAGCTCGCTACTCCGGAATGCAACTAGTCCATGATCTGGACGAAGAGGGTCACAGCAAGGTTGCTCATGGCCTTCTCACTGATCCCATCAGATAAAAAACGTTCGACTGCCGGGGCCTGACGACAAACATGAACGGGTGGTTCACGACGAAGTGCGTGATGTCCCCGACTCCAGGGCCACATCCGAGCACGGCCTCGTCCGTGGAAGGCGGGGGAATCTCGGCACCTTCCTCGTTCACCTCTAGGAAGGCCCCGTGGATGATGTCGGCCAGGCCTGGACTTGCGGCCTTGAATATACCAGACAGGTCGGCCTTCGGTGTGAACAGCTCGCGCACTCCCACATCCTGGAGGGCGAGCCGCAGTCCTCGACAGGTCACGACCGAGAACTTGGGCATCTTGACCATCACGTTGGGCCTCTCGCGCAGGCCGTGCAAGAGGTCCGACAGCCGCTGCGCGGTCAGGTTCTCCTCAAGACGCGACAGGCCGTCCATCTGGTCGGGCAGGATGAGGACCATGCTCGTCTTGCCGCCCATGTGGGACATCTCGAGCGCCGTAGCTTGGAGCTGGTCGCAGTGGGATATGCCGAACGAGTGCATCTGGTTCATCATGTCCACGCGAGTGACCGTGTGACCATCCACGTGAAAGTCGTCGGGTCCCGTAAATGTTGGCTGCACGTAATACAGTTTGTATAGACTTACTGAAGTAACCATAGCTCGGCGTCAACGCTGTGCCTAAATTTTAAGTCCCAGACAATTGGCGGGGGTGCCAGAAGAAAGCACACAGTTGACCTGCTGCTCGTCGGAAGGATATCTATGGCAATAAGTATTCAGTTTAACGGCATTCAAATCGGGCTGTCTTATCATTAAGCTGAAAAATCTTCATTTCATGGGTTATATATGAGCGATCAACTGCAATTTTACTTTTTACGAGTTCCCATGTGCGTGGTGTGTATACACGTTGATACAATTTGGCTGTAGTATAGCACCGTTCCCTTAAAACTGGAATCATTTGCAGAACGTCTATCACAACCTGCAAAATAACGATACAGTAACTCCTGCACGGTGCGACAAATCTGATCAACACTCGTATTATCTACAGTAAGAGCTTAGGGATGCTATACTTTCGAAGGGGGCCATTTGTCCCGTCCGATTAGCTATACGGTGTTGTGCTATCCGATTGGCTCACACTGCAGTCGTTGGCCCACTTGAAAGTATGGCGCAATTTCAGACAACATTCAAAGTACCATTCGTGGAGTGATTGATTGATTGTATAATGAAAACACTATAGCGTCAAGAAGAACGAAAAAGATCCCAAAGCTGGTTGCGCTGTTTAGTAGAGGTGGGTGGAGATCCCTTTGGCTGACACGGATAGAAGCGAGATATCTAAAGGGAATCTTTGAATGCATACAGCGAGCTAAGCCATAGGATAGCGTACGACGGAGAACAAGGCTACAAGCCTCGCCCTCTGAGAACCTGAGTGGCACATAGGCAGCGCCGTACCTTCAGTTGGCGGGACGTGTCCAGTCATCAGACAGTTATAGTATACCGGGCTTACCGGGATAGCGGGATCGAAGTTCACGTGCGCAGATACGGACGTCGCACGTATACCGCTTACCGTACGTGCAGCATTCAGATTTAACGTTACCGTGGTAGTGTAGGTGTACGTAGGAAAACATGGCGGCGCCCTCGGGCGCCAGCTTCGTAGTGATTTTGGCGTAGTTGTAGCTAGATTCACCTTTTTTGCAGTAAGCGAGTTAAAAGTGGCTTCGCTTGCCTTCAGTTAGCTTCGACGACCGAATATTACGGATAAGATGGCGTAGTTTTTGAGATAGCTTCCCATTTCGAACGCATCTAGGCCTAGCTACAAGACCGATGTGAACAAACCGGCAACATAAACGTTTTCACGTGTGGTGCGTGGTTCATATTTGTTTACTTTTATTATTACTAAAATAAACTTGTAACAATGCTTCACGCAATAGCATTGGCAAACATTCTCGTTTTCTTTTCCTTTTCACTGTTCTTCACCTTATTAACCATCCGATAGGTAACGCCACCGTCCCAGCTTGGGGAAGTATATCACGCAAACGTTATCCCGCTGAACTATAAGACGCTGTTGGCAATGAACCTTTGTTGAACGGTAGTGCCATTCTCTTTACCTCCGCTATCACGCTATGGTAGCATATAGGTGTTCTTAGGATAAACTATAAGACGCTGTCCACAACGAACGTTTGCACTCGCTCTCTCGATTTCGTGCCGACCGGTTGTGCCCTGCGATCTCCGACGACAGCGCAACTATGGCCGACTGGGCTCGCCCTATGCCATCTCCTGACGCGGACAAGAGCTCTCACTGAGTGGTGCCCCATCCTTGGACTCCTGCAATCATGTCCATCTTTCCTGTCTTCTCCTTACTTCCGGATGTCGCTGCCCCTGCGCCACGCTCTCCTTCGCTCTCTATATATATATATATCTATACTTTTTAATCCTAGCTATCCTTTTAATCCCTCCTTACCCCCGTCCCTAGTGAGCTACTGTGGAAGTGTCGCACTACGATGTAGACGGTGCTCCTTTACGGGGCCCACTTTTATCTTCTTTTCTCTCTATTAAGAATCACATAAAAAAAGAACCTTTGCTGCTCGGTAACGCCATTCCCTTAACTTCCGCTAACACGCTAACGGTAGACTATAACTGCCTATTGGTTCAAAAACAGGCCTATGGTCATCCAAGTCTTTGACGATAATGGCAGTTGAACGCCATTAGCGGGGCATTCGAAGAAGCGTTTACATTACGTATTAAAGCGCCCCTAAACCACGCAGAGGTCAAAATGTAGCTGGAACATTGCAGTTGTTGAGGGGCCTATACAAGGCTGGCGGCTGTACCCCCGTTTCCTCCTCGTTTCGCTCTTTCCTTCGCTAGACGGCGTTAGCTAGGCTAGTCTATTCGCCCATCCACGTCTCCAAATGCTCTTCCCCAGCGTTCGAGGTGAAAACGCAAGTGCTTGCATTTGCTATAGCATAAAACAGGCTCTTGTTCGCTCACAGACCACCTGTTCCTCGTGACATCCTCTAATCATACAGGTCAGCTGTTCTCGATAGAGCAAAGACACGGAGAGCGTGCAGGTAGTTTAGGGGCCCTTTAAAGGCAGGTACCAAAGGCAGATTATTTAGAGAAGCCCATCATCCCTTCATTTAAATTTCTTCATCCATTGTGAAGCATCGAATGTGCCATTGGCCTCAACCAACGAGCGCGGGGACATTGAAATTGATTTTTGCACCCTCCCGGCCATTAGAGAAACCTACGAACGCATATATGATATGAGCGATCCGCGCCCTGCCTTCGGAAGTATACCTGAAAGGGCGCCTCCCAGGCACCGTCGAAGAAGGCCACGGTTACCATTTCCAGCTGCGTCTTTGGGCCGAAGCAGTCCGACGTGAGCAGACCGCGTATCTTGCCCCCGGTCTCTCTGACGACCCGCTCGTTGATCTCGTCGAGCAGCTCGAAGTAACCGCCGGAAAAGTTGACTTCGTGCACGATGCCCTTGCCGTACTTGTCACGCAGGAATGTCGCGTAACTCTCGTGGATCGGGCAGCGCCGGTCCTTGTACAGGCGGCACGTCGTCTTGAAGGTGATCCCCGCCGCCGGTGTCGTGATGCGCGCCAGCTCCGTGGCGAATAGGCCGTGAATATGGCCATCGTCTCGGGTGCGCAGAGCGGAAGCGATCTCCTGCATCCGGCACACAGGATGGAGTTAAAGAGTACATTGATTGACATGTGAGGTTTAATGTCCCAAAACCACCATATGATTATGAGACGCCGTAGTGGAGGGCTCCGGAAATTTGAACCACCCGGGGTTTTTTTAGCTTGGATCCAAATCTGAGCACACGGGCCCACATTTCCACCTCCATTGGAAATGCGATTTAAGGAGTGCAGAATAGGTAAAAAAAATATTCTGCACTCTTACAGCCTAGTCTAACATAACCTTACTTAACCTCGAGTTATTTTTTTGTAGTGTGTCATTTTTGGAATTCCTACCATAACGAGAAGTTTGTTCTGTAAGGCGCACTCTAAAAATTAATTAGCGTATCAAAAAATTAGGACAAGCGAAGTTTGGCGAGCACGCGTGCCTAGCATAGTCAAGGGAAAAATTTTTACCTGTCCATTTTTTTTGTTGGTCTGTCTGGTGATTGATTCATTTTAACTCCTTGCTCAACGCCCACCTATCTCGATCTGGTGGCTTTGTTCTTATATGTGAACATTGTTAATCAAAAAACAAATATTACATATATTTGAGGTGTAACGTCAATATATAACTGGCAGGCAGGGGCTCTTTTTATTTAGAAAGTGCACGAATACGTATTTTAAACAGACCGAATTGTTTATTGCGCCTCACTGATGAGACGCTATGAACGATAAAACAGGTGTTACCTATACGCTTCCCTAAAGAAAAAATCCGGGGGTTTAACACGGTGAAAGAATAGTTTACACCGTGCTCCAGACAGAAGACTATAGTCTTTTGACGTCCTTTGCATTAAAGCACGGAGATACAAGGCCAATTTTTCTATTCGTCTTTCTTTCTACCCATAACAGTGCGCAATACTTATTCCCCTCAAGCAGTTTCAACCAATTATGTCGGGGCGTGGACCGTTCTTTCGAAACGTGGATACACGTGCCCAGTAGCGCGACACTTCTTTAGCTAAAGGTAACAGCGAAGGTCATGCACTCGTATGCACGCATCAACGAAATGAGGCGACGCGAAAGGATAAGTCACTTCGACAAAAGATCAGATTACCGTATCACAAATGACTGGTCGCCCTTTTACACTGCTGCGCCGCGACTGTGCTTGCCGTTGTTAGCGAGTACCTGGAGTTACTATGCTCGCGGAACGCTTTTCTTAGCGATGAAAGGAAAGCTAAAAGGGCAGAGCGTCTGCACATGTACTACTAGGCGAAGTAGTCCGGCATGTCATGCGTTCCGTATACCGCTGTGGAAAGTTACGACTGTGTGTGACCAGCGTATCATATCGACGCAGATGCCGCTTGGTGTTTGAGGAATATATACTCGTAAAAGGTGCGGATTTCTCACGCGTTCAAGTACGTAAAGCGGTAATGAATAAATTAAAATACGAATATCTTATTGGCAAGAGCAGCGCCCTGTGTCAAAGGGCTACATGCAAAAAAATGACGGCAGTATTTTTCACAACTCACGTCGAAAATAAAGATAACTGTAGGACTACATTGGCGGTAGAATACGTGCGATTTGGCTCTGTTTTCTTAGTCTGTGCTGCACTGCCAAGAATAGTTCGTGACTATAGAGAGTTTTAGAACAACTCCACGCACAGCTTCGCAATTGCGTTGCGCACGCGTCACACGTTAACATCTTGCGGGCTCTTGTTAAGTGACGAACGCTAGCGCCACGCCGGCAAGCCTTGCGTTATTCTAAAAGCTCTCTACTAACAGGGTAGTAATGTATTAATTCATATAAGAAAGGTAGCTGCTATAACTTTTTTTGTGAGAGAGAGAACTAGTTTACGCAAGTTCAGGACGTTGCAACAAAGGCATAAACGTCGACGTGACTATTAATTTGGCGACAACTTTTCTTGGCATGGAAGCGAAGGTTACAAATCACGCGCATCTTACAACCAGTGAATGTGGTTCCACAATAGCGACCGTTTTTAAGGTGAAATATGGAAGTTCCTCCTTTATTTTGTGCGCGCACCTATTTCAGACAGGACGCAGGTCACACCAGGAAGAAAATTGTATTTAGTCTGACAGTGTTCTTGAAGGACGCGCGAGGAAGTCCCACCTTTTTCACGTGTACCTCGAACGCTAAGCGGCGTCTACGTCTACACGAAGCACTGATGGTGCGTCTTCGTCACTTTCTACGGCGTTACGAGACGCGCGCCGAATGGAACTCCCTCTGCGTAGGGCTACATGTGCATGCAGAAGCTCCGCTCCCGTATGGATGGATGGTAAAACTTTATTTCGTCAGAAAGCAACTGAGGATGATTCCGTGTTAGATGGCCATCAACCCAAGGTTGGCGGCGACCTGTGTGGCCCACTCCACGACCCTTAACTGGACGACTGGGTCTGAGCTGGTCAACACGGCCTCCCAGTGCTCAAGAGAGGGATCACGCATAATATCCACCGGCGGCGGCACTATGCTACATTCCCAAAGTATGTGATCATATGTTGCCACAGCCTGACACCATTTGCATTGCGGCTTAATCTCCTCCGGGTACATTTTGTTCAACACGTAAGGGTTGGGAAAAGATCGCGTCTGCAGTTTTCTCCAGACGCATTCCTGCGCCTTAGTCAACCGCTTGTGCGGGGGCGGATAAAACCTCCGCTCTAGTTTATAATGATTCGTTATGTCATGAAAGGACACCAGCCCATCTCTCGCGGACCTCCCCGGAACTGGCGGCTCACCTACCCGGCTGACGAAACCTCGAGCATTCAGGTGAGCCGCCTCGTTCCCAGGGTTCCCAGAGTGTGCTGGTACCCAGACAATTTCTATTTCTCTCATTTCTCGTCCCGTGGCCCTATGCAGAAATCGTGCAGCGGTCGCCGATATTCTGCCCCTCGCCAGATTTCGGATGGCTGTCTTTGAATCACTGAAAATCAAATCTGACTGCGAATTAGTTATAGCTAGCGCTATTGCCGCTTCCTCTGCAGTTTCCGAGGAGCGGGTTTTGACCGATCCAGAAGCGATCAAGCGCCCCCGCCTGTCCACCACCACAATCACAAAAGCGTCTTTGTCCTTATATTCCGCAACATCTGTATAGACTGCCGCTTTGTACTCGCCGTACTCAACGTGTAAAGCTCTGGCTCTTGCCTGCCTGCGCTGCGTATGGTGAATCGGATGCATATTTTTGGGCAAAGGTTTTATGTACAGGGCCTTATGTAACTCTCGCCGCACCTGAATTTTAGTGTCCCCAGTGGGAGCCTCTGCTCCAATGCCAATCCTTTCCAATATAATCCTGCCCGCTTTGGTTGTCGAAAGCCTAGCGTGCTGCATCACCAGATGCGCCTCCCATAATTCATCCAGGGTGTTGTGTACCCCTAGTTTTAACAGCCTTTCTGTAGGCGCGTTGTTAGGCAACCCAAGCGCTGCCTTGTAAGCTTGCCGGATCATAGCCTCGACCTTACCTTTTTCTGCGGCATCCAACTTCATATAAGGTGTCGCGTAAGTAATCCTGCTGAGCACAAACGCCTGTACCAGCTTACAGAGTTCTTTTTCTTTAACCCCGCTTTACGGTTAGCGATTCTTCTGATTAGCCTGACAGTAGCATTGACCGTGGTCTTAAGTTTTTCAAGGGCCACCCTATTCTTCCTGTTAGTTTGCAGATATAGGCCAAGAATTCTAATCGTTTGAGCTTCAGCTACCGGCCTACCCCCTACCTTTACCTCTAACGGCGGTGGCGGAATATAGTGTCTTGCATGTAGCCCTCTGGGTTTGTCCCGAACCACAAAGAGCTCGGACTTTGGCTGAGAGCATGAAAGTCCCGCCTCCCCTGCCAACTCTTCGACAATATTAACTGCCTGTTGCAGTGTTTCTTCCAGATGCGCGTCACTACCCCTGGTTACCCATAGAGTAATATCATCTGCATAAAATGTGTGTTTGAGTCCCGGTATCTCCTCCAGCCTCGGCGGTATTTTAATTAAGGCGATGTTAAACAGGAACGGTGACAAAACTGAACCCTGCGGCGTCCCTTTGCCTCCCAACGCGAATGAGTCCGATTTGATATCTCCTATTGAAATTTCTGCGGTTCGGCCCTCCAAGAATGATCTGATGTAGCGAAATGTCCTGACCCCTGGGCCAATTTCCGATAGGTTATTCAATATTGCCTCATGCGAAACATTGTCGAAAGCTTTATTCAGGTCAAGCCCCAATACAGCTTTGGTGCCCGTGCCATGCCCGGGATTGACTACATCATGTTTTAACTGTATCATGACATCCTGTGTGGACAAATTGGCCCTGAAACCTATCATAGTTGGGGGAAAGATGGCCTTGTCCTCTGCATAATTCTGAAGCCTGTTGAGAACCACGTGCTCCATCAATTTGCCCACGCATGATGTCAGCGATATGGGGCGCAGGTTTTCCAAGCAGAGTTTCTTGCCTGGCTTCGGAATAAATATAATCCTAGCATGCTTCCATTGTGCTGGGATCTCCCCGGCCACCCAATACTCATTTATCAAGTCAGTGATCGCCCCGACCGATTTGAAATCTAGGTTTCTCAGCATTTTATTAGTAACTCCATCCGGACCTGCGGCAGACGTAGTACGCAGCTGCCCCATGGCAAACTCCACCTCCGCAATTGTGAACTCTTCATCTAGGTCTGAGTTTTCCACCCCCGAGTAGTGTGGTAAGCAACCGTCTACTCCATCAGTTATGTACCGATTCCGGAGTTCCTGTATAAACTCTCCAATTGTGCCTTCATATTGATGCATTAACCGAGTCATTTGCCCCCGTTGCGCCGATTTTGTTGCTGCCGGATCCAAAAGATGCCTTAACAGCTGCCATGTCTTTTTGCATCCAAACTGTCCATTCATGCGATCACAAATCTGGCCCCACTGCTTGGCTTGCAACTCAATTGTATAATTTTCGATTTTACGTTCTAACTTGGCAGTCCTTCTGCGAAGGACGCCATTATGTTTTTGCTTCTTCCACCTTCTCAAGAGACTCGCGTGCGCTTCCCACATGTGTAATAGTCTCGAGTCAGCGGTAAACTCC